ATGGCATGTTGATGAACTACTGCTCCCATTGTCCCACACCATTATCTACATTGACTGGGGATGATAGGAAATGATCTTCTAGAATCTACAACATCTGAAAAGCCAAAGCTTTCCCATCAAGGTTAAGGGAGCTGCAAACATATACAGTTGAGCAGACTTAGCAGAGCTAATAGATCAGGGTTTTGTATATGGAATGGAAGAAAGCCACCTTCCTCTTAGCACCACAACCTTTTGGGTGGGCTCTAAGTATAGTGCTGCTCTTCTGAATGTAGCTGAATTGATGTTCAGTTTCTATCCATGCTGAGCAGCCATCATTTAAACCACCCAAATGCAGCATTCCAGATGTTGAATGATTTCTACCTTTCCAGTAGAATTATTTTTGCATGTCGCAACATCATGAGTGCAGGGGGGAGATCAAGCGAGGCATGATGGCCAAGGCCTCAATTTCAGCAACCAAGCCATCATGGCTGCCTTACAGCCCAATGGCAGAACTAGGAAGAGGAAGTGAAGACTGGGGGGATAGCCATTACATTTGCTTAAAGCTTGGGGTATAAGCTAGTGCAGTAGGCATCCTTCAGTATGGAGAGACTATGATATCATGCTCTGAACAGAGGTCTTGGAACAACATCTAGTATGGCTAAGAAGGCCAATTTGAGAGTGACAATCCCTTCCACACTGAGGACAAATATAATCTGTCCCGTCTCCAGCTCCCTGGTTTTGCGGGTTTCAGGGCTTCCTCTTTGTCTCAGCCTGTTGAACAAGTGTCTCTTCAAATTGGGAGAGGCCATGCTGCATCTCCTTCCTCCAGGCTGACTGCTCAGATGTCAGGGTTTCCCATCTGTTGAGGTCCATTTCCAAGGCCTTCAGATCCCGCTTGCAGATATCCTTGCATCGCAGCTGTGGTCTCCCTTTGGGGCGCTTTCCCTACACTAATCTCCATACAAGTGATTTTGGAACTGGACCGTCAGCCATTCTCACAACATGCCTGAGCCAACGTAGACATCATCGTTTCAGTAATGTATACATGCTAAAAATTCCAGCTCATTCTAGGACCTTTGTCCTGCCAGGTGATACCAAAAATGCGTTGGAGACAACGCATATGGAACATGTTTAGCTTCCTCCCCTGAGGTGCACAAAGGGTTCAGGACTCACTACAGTGCAGGAATGTGCTCAGGACAGGCTTTATAGACCTGGATCTTGGTACATGCCATCAGCTTCTTATTAAGCCATACTCTTTTTGTGAGTCTAGAGAACATGGTAGCTGCTTTACCTATGCATTTATCCAGCTTGACATCTAGGGAGAGAGTGTCAGAGATCGTTGAGCTAAGGTATACGAAGTCTTGGACAACCTCCAGTTCTTGTGTAGAGATGGTAATAGCGGGAGGTGAGTCCACGCTCTGGCCCATGAGATGTGTTTTCTTCAGGCTGATTGTTAATCCAAAGGCTTGGCAGGCCTTGCTAGAGCGATGCATGAGTTGTTGGAGGTCTTCAGCAGAATGGGTGACAACAGCTGCATCATTGGTGAAGAAGTCCCACATGCATTTCAGCTGGACTTTGGTCTTCACTCTCAATCTAGAGAGATTAAAGAGCTTTCCATCTGGTCTAGTCTGGAGATAGACACCTTCTATTGCAGTTCCAAAAGCGTGCTTCAGCATGACAGCAAAAAAGATCCCAAACAGGGTCGGCACGAGCACACAGCTCTCTTTCACTCCGCTTTGTAGTGAAACAATCACACATGAGAAAAGCAGGCTTTGCTAGTGGTTTTGAAGACAAACAGGTGGCACTACACACATTGCCTGCAATCCTGTTTCTTAGATTGGGAAGTCTGCACTAGTGTAAGCCCATTGGGTCAGTGGGGACTTGATGAATCAACTCCTCCGTAAGTTCAATTGATTCAAATGGATCTACTCCAGCTGTGACTTTAGCATAGTAGGGTACAACTAAAGAAGGCCCATTTGAATCATGGAACTTATGGAAGAGTTGACTCACCAAATCCCAATTCTAGTGCAATATACTATGCTAAGCAGTCAGACTTTAGCCATTGTCAAGGCATTAGAAGAGCTTGCTTTTAAGCTGACAGTTCTCCGCATCTTGAAATTTGTAATTAAAAAAAAAACTTTCCTGCCCCTCACATTGTGTACATCTTTTTGCTGGCAGTTCTGTTCATAGTTAAGCATACTCTTGATATCATTCTGGTGCTTCTCCTTTGGATTTCACCTCCAATTTATATACTCGCTGAGGAATGTACACTAGAAATATGATGCTTAAAAATGTGCATAGGAAAGTGGCTTGCAGTTGATAATGATTTTGCAGCTAGATCAACAGCCATGTATGGGTGACAACGGCAGCTTGCCAGGCTCAGTAAGGGAGGTGATACTGTTGTTATCGAGCAATATGCCATTCATCATGACAATGCATTTTGAAAATGGTTTCACAATATGCTCACAAGTGCTGCAGTTCTTGCTAAGAACATGTGCCGCTGCTAAGAACATTAGTCATTCAGGAGGTAGGACAACACTCCATTCATCCAAATGTCCTAACATACTACCAGAGCAGGCATTGTATAATAGGAGATTGCTACAGGAAACACTATTTTCCAGCCACCCCTTCACAGACTTTGGCAGTTAGAGGTAATACCGAATTGTATTTTCATTGATGACCAGATCTGCTGATTAATTTCCTTTTTAATGTCACAGATTTATTCACAAATTTATTTAATGTTTCAATTCAGCCTTGCCATTATTTCTGGTGGTAAGGAGTTCCATGAGTCAAATACATGCAGCTGAAAATTTGAGCCATATATACCAGTTGTAATAGCAAGAAAAAACCACTTTGAACCCTTTTAAGGAGAAAGGAGAGGTAAACATATTTTAAATAAATAAATAAATTGACAACTACGTTTTACTTTAAACTGGTTACTGAGGTAAAGGAAGGGAGATGAAGAGATTTATTTTCCATAAGAGGACATGTGCACTATTGAGGATCTAAAAATCCTGAAAAGGGTTGCTATAAATCAGAATTGACTTGATGGCACATAATTATGATAAGATGACTGGAGAGCTCAATGAACTCGCTATGGATCCAAAGGTTGGGAGTTCTACTCCCCACAGGTGTCTCCTGGGCGTAAACCCAGCCTGGGTCGTCTCGAACAAGCTGCAAAGTCCCAGGATGCCCCAGAAGAAGAGAATGCTAAATCACTTCAGAATATTTTCTACCTGAAAAAGGTTGTCACAAGTCAGAATTGACTTGACGACACACAATTGTCACCAGAATTCTTGAACTAGGTTGCTAGCAGTATCATTCTTTGTGCCATGTACACTAAAATAAATTCCATATGCCCAACTGTGTCTGGTGAAGTAATAAGGTAGAGACAGGGGGAATTCTTCTCATTGACATATAATGCTTTGAGATAGCAACTTACTTGGAAGCTCCTATTCCATGTAAAACTAGGTGTGCACAACCTGTTTGCTACAGATGTCATGCCATCCTGAGGAGAACTCAGAGAACCATTCCTTTTTTTAAAAAGACCCGAAAACCCATAGCCAGTATGGGATCTCATGGAAATGGGACAACTCCATATATTTGCTAGAGTAGGTGGAAGATAACTTATTTTTTTTTCAGAACCTGAAGACTGTATCTCTTCAGCCAGATGAGCCCTCTGACATATAGGCCAGCAAAAGCCCTCTCAAGACCCATTATGTTCAGTAGGGATTATTGCTTAATACAATCATTCCCATATTTGAGTCTGAGGATGAGGAATGAAAACTTCTAGGGTCCCTAAATGTTGCCCATGTCATCTGCAGATTCTGGGACTTAAAAATGGAACAGCATCTGAGGAACCCAAAGCTGGAGTCATAGGAAAAGAGGAGCTAACGAGCAGAATAGCTGTCAAAGGTAAGATAGAGGGGCACGGTACCAGTTTACAGTCATAAGCCACCTTTCCTAACATGGTGGTCTCCAGATCTCTGGGATTTGGACTTCCACCATCCCCATCCCAAAAAGTCTGTGTTGTGTGGAGATGATGGTAGTTATAGTCCTATACAGAGGGAGCACGCCAGGGCAGAAAAAGCTATGATGCAGCAGTCATGTGACGATGATAGGAACAATAAACCCAAAGACTCTTCCCACCACATGGGCATCATGAAATTAATGAGAATGGCCCACTCATATCACCTGCATGGCTGATTTCCCCCTCCCTGACCATGAGTCAGATGGGCCGTCTAGAAGGTTAACAAATAAATAAATAAAAATAAATACTTTCCTCCTCCCTGCTGAGGGGCATAAGTGGCTACAGCAGAGGTGTAGCCCCATATGCAAGAGTTGTCCTGCATTCCAGCTTCTCAAAGCCCCTGTAAGCTACCACAACTCTCAGAAATGTCAACCCTGGTTCTGGATTTAAGCGTTTCTGTATTATGTCTATGTGTGCATATCATGGGAAATGCTGGTCCCAGGCAGGTGGCTATTTTTGTCATGTTGACAACCCCAGAAGTAATGCAGCTGGCGAAATACTAAAGACCTTAGGAAAATATTTGTGTACAGTTTGTTGGGAGGGGCAGTTTGGAATACAGCTCTCGTTGGCCATGCTGGCTGGGGGTTCCTGAGTATTGTAGCCCCCAAAAGGTAACTTATTTCCAAGCTCTGTGACATATAGCTCAATACAATCAGGCAAGAAGCAGCAGCAGAGCTGACGTTTGAAAGCCAGAACTATTGACTTCATTTTTATTTATTTTTATTCATCATATGGACTGACACCACATCCTTCAATTGAATTGCAGAGCAGATATGCATGCTTCCATGGATGTCAGTTGCATGATGAGACTTGCAAGGCAAATAAGCAAGTTTCAGATTGCTGCTAAAAAGTCTCGCTTGCAGTGATTAATAAGACTGGGGCAATGCAAACACGGAATAGAGAGCTTACATCTGGTGAGGAAATGACTTCACATCCTGGGCAGGGAAGTACACTTATACACTGTGTGACAGTTCAGTGTCCTTGCCCCTTTAAAAAGCAAGGAGCGAGGTGGGGGAAGGGACTCCTCCTATAGGGTGTTGTCTCTCAGGGGAGGCGTGAGACTCCTGGCTGATAAAAACTGGAGCTCAAAGTACAGCTGCAACTGGTGCTCTCTTGCCATAAACTTTGAACATTACAGTGTGTTTGCCTGCTACTAGTTGGCGAGGTGGTCTCTTGGCAATGGCCCAGTTTGTGAAGAGCCACACTGCACCTGATAAAGTGGTGGTGTTTGGGAAGAAAAGTTGCCCTTACTGCCACAAGGCTGTCGAGTTACTGGAAGAATTTCAGCTGAAGCCTGGGCATTTTGAATACGTCGATCTCTCCAGAGAAAGTAACGTGGAGGAGATTCAGCAATATTTCATGCAGCTCACAGGTGCCAGAACGGTGAGTTTCTTGTTCTAAACTTGATGGAGGGGTGGGGAGAGTGCAAAAAGGAACAGTTACGCATTATAATCAGTCTTTAAGACGGTTGCTTCTTTTAATAAAACCTTACTGGCAGAATTGTGTACTCTGTAACATGTTGATAAAACCATCAGTATCTTATTTGCTTAAGGAATGTGGTTAAGAGTATTCTGGTAATTTAAAGATTAAGAAGTTTTATTTGGCATAAGCATTGGCAGACATCAGTCCATAGAGCCAGATGCTTGAGGCTCTAATTACTATGCCATGTTGCTTAACTCTTTGAATAGGGATGGCTGGATTTCATCCTTCCTATTTTGAGACTTAGCTGAATGAAAATAACATGGAACAGGTAAGATGCTTTGCTTCCCAGCAAGAGCATGCCTGATGGTGGCAAGGATGACCATGCTTGTTTTTTTGCATTTGTCTCATGCCTTTCCTCCAGTCAGTTCAAAGGGGGGCGGGTTTAGGGCTCATTTCCAAATGTTCTCTTGACAACAACCCTGTGAGGTAGGTCAGACTGAGAGAATGTGCCTGGGCCAAGGTCACACAGTCAGTTTCAAGACTATGTGTAAGTTTGAACCCAGATGTTCAGCGTCCTTGTTCATCCGTTTGGCCACTGTGTAAAACGGGCACTCAGATCCGTTTTGCAACCTCCCCATTTCTTGTAAGACACAGCAAAACCCTACGACAAATGGAGGCCTCTGTGCTGTCTTTGGATTTGGTCTTCTGCCTCATGACCAGTGTGCACTGAAAGAGAGGATGAAACGCAACCAAGATTGCTTCAGACCAAGTCCGGTTTAGGTGAAATGGCCTCGTTGCTTCACAGGATACAAAAGCATTCTTACACCATCTTGTACTGATTTCTTTTAAGATGGCTGGCAGCCTGTTGTGCGCCTTATAATGTAACTGAGTTCCTTCTGGTGTTGCACTACACTGGAAGCCAGAAAGTCTATCTTCCCGCTCTCGTGTCCTAGCAGTGAATTAAACTGACTCTATACTTCAAACTACTCATCATGAGCAGGGTGCCTGGAGCAACAGACTTCTGTAGGGGTGGGTGGGAGTCTCACTCCTGAGGATGACAAGCTCCTTGGTGAAGGGCCTGGTGTTTTTGTGTTTTTAATTTTGACAGGCTCAGGTCTTATGCCCAATGGGTGCCTGACATACAGCAATCTATTAGACTATGCTGTTCCTCTTTCGCTGTGATGAACAGAACTTTGAGAGGAACAGCATTTTGCTGACTAATCCTTTGCATATAAAAAAACACAGAGATGATAAAAATGGATCCCCCATGAGTTCTCTTCTGCAGGCAATACTGAATGAACAGATTCTGTACAAAAATAGGGCAGCGTTCCTCTCTAACAAACTTCATGATGACTCAAGCCTTAGTTACATACTGCTTGGATTACTGTAATACCCTCTACATGGAGCTGCCTTTGAAGATGGCCTAGAACTTCATTTGGTTTAAAATATTGCAGTCAGGCTACTGGCTGGGTTACAGGCAGCACCAAACTGCCCTGTCCCGTCTGCTTCCCTGGCTGTTGGTCCAGTTCCGGGCCCAATTCAATGTCCTGGTTATTACCTATAAGACCCTAAGTAGCTTGTGCCCCAGCTGTCTAAAGGGCCATATCTCCTCATGTGAGTCTTCCCAGCAATTAAGATCTTTAGGGGAGCCCCTTCCCTCAGTCCTCTCGGCCACATTTGAAGGGAATGCAAGAGAGAGTACATTCTCTGTGGCTGCTCCCAGCTTGGGGAATGCTCTCCCTCACGAGGCTAAGTTGGACCCTTTCCTTCTTATCCTTCTGGGAACACATAAAGACATTTAGTTTTAAAGAGGTTTTTTAACTACATTGGGAATTTAAGCTGGACTCTCCTTGAGATCTTTGATGTTGTATTTTAAAATGTTTTTAAAAAGATTTTAAAAAAGATTTTAGATTATTATTTATATACTGTTCTGCATTTAATCATTCTTAATTGAATAGTTTGTGCTTTCACTTGTATTTTAACTGTTGTGAGCCAACTGGAGTCCCTTTATAGGAAAAAGTTAGCATAGAAATAGTATAAACAAACTGTTGGCTTGTTCCTATTTTGTGGGAAACTACATCTGATTTAGAGCTTGGGAAAAAAATATTTTTATAGCACATCTCCCAGCATTTTCCAGTCAGTATGGCTTCTAGTTCTAACAATGCTGGCCAGTGGATTCTGGGATGTATATTATACTGAAAAGAACTCTTCCGTGCTCTGGACTGAACTGTGTCTTCTATGGCCGAGAGCAGATTCCCTTTAAAATCGATGGCTTATGAAGCCCAAACAAGACACTACAGGGTATTTTAATGCTACATTGTAAGCAATAAAGAACAGATGTTGGCTCTCCTCGCCAGGCAGACTGAGCTACACAAGCATATGCCTAGGGCTCTGAATGTTCACTTCCTGTTCTGTTGCTGCTTTCTGTGTTTTGGGAAATATACAGCTTTCCACAAGGAAGCAGGCATCATTGCATCTTGTGCCAAATAGTTGATAATGTTTGTCCACCTCTAAGCAAGATAGATTAATTCCAAAGAATAGCCACAATACTTTGTAATGGGAGGGAACTTCCTCCTTGGCAGGATTCATAATTGTTATATAAATCTGAGTGGAAAGTCTGAGACTTCAGTGTTACTGAATGGTCAGATTATAGGCATGGTAAAACTAGGCATTTTATATTACTCTTCTACCTCCAGTATAGAGATTTGTGACAGTTTCCACTGCCAGCCTGCTCAAAATGCAGACAGTTGGTTTGGCATGTGTTAACAATTGAGGAGCGGGTTTGTTGTAAAGTTAATGAGTCTTGATTGCCTACTAAAGACCAAGCTACCCTTAAATCTTTCATGTTACAATAAGAATATCTTGCAACAATATCCTGGCCCAGGGGAAATCCATCTCTCTTCCAGCTACTCTGCAGACTGAAGCTAAGCTCAGAGGGAACAGGGAAGCCTTGGGAGGGCACGATTCAGAAAGTCCAAGGGCTTCAACCTGGCAACCCCGCCTATGCTGCACTACTGAGTGTATGATGTGAGCTTATCGTAGGTTTGTTTTTTTTTTTAACCTGACACAGAAAGCCCTTTTGCCCTGGACAGAGTTATAACTATGTGTGATCTTTGTGATGACTCATTTCCTGATAAGTGACGTGCCATTTGACCTCTACCAAGCTTTATCACCTTAAAATGAGGGTGGGAAACCTTTGGTCCTCCACATGTTTGGACAACAACATTGGCCATATGCTGTCACTGACTTTGGAAACATTTGGAGGGCTTAAATGTTCCCAGCCTCTAAGACCTCAAGATGAGCAAGATGATGAAGCTGTGGTGGTTCTCCCTTGCCATTCATTTCATTCACAGGCAGTTTGTGAGTGAGGCCGAGAGGGAGACCCCCCACACCAGCCTCCTGTCATTGCATTTATTTGACACTCTGTTCTGTTTGGTATCACCACTTGTGCCCGCCAGCAGGAAGGAAGGAAGCCGTTGGAGGACAAGCCACCATCTGGGTATTGGGACATATTGTCTCATTAATTTCAAACTCCCCAAGGGGTGGAAAGGGTTCTAGGTTTGTTCCTAACAGTCTTAGGGTGAAACTACATCACAATTTACCCCAGGGTTGGCACAGTTAAAATTAAAGCATTTACCGGTGACAGTATGACATAAAGCTAAGCAAAGGGAAGCCCAGTCTTTTTCCAAAGGCAGTTTCTTTTTGTTCAGCCAGCAGTGAGTGGTTGTATTCTGCTCTGATTCAGCTGTCATCACTTTTCTCCATTTTCTCACTTTTCTCCATGGATGAAAGGAAGGGTGGGAAAGAGGGAAGTATAAGTAGAGTGGATGGCTGTCTTCCAGGTATAAAATGAACCATTGGGGAAGTGTGGTGTAGCCTCTTTCAACAGAATAATTAGTCATATTGGTCCTGATGACTACAGTGATTTCAACAGAAATTATTAGGGAAGATGGCTATAAAACCTTTAGAAGCAGTCCACATGTCCTTCCCTGTGTAGTCACACCTTCAGTCACACAACTGAGATTTCTCAACTGATTGCAGTCTTCAGTGACTTGGTGCTCTTCTAATGTGTTAAGACTACCATTCTTTCATGCCTAACCAACACAGGTGTGTTGACTAGAGATGGTGGATATTATAGACCAAGATATCAGAAAAGCATCAGACTCGTTCAGGTACTGTAGTATATAGCAAAAATACTTATTGTAACTTGTCATCAAGTCACTTCCAATTTATGGTGATCCTGTAAATTGGTGTTCTTCAAAAAGGTGCTATCATGAGAACAACCCTAATCAGATCTTGCAAAGGCTGTGATATCCTTTATTGAGTCAATCTGTCTTATTATCAGCTTTCCTTTTTCCTATTGTCTTAAGCCTTTCCCAGGTACTGTACCCATTTTTCTTACCTTCATTGGTGGTACTGATCATTCAGCTTTGACATCTCTCACTATGAAACTGTGCTGCTTCTCCCTTGACCAATACTAATCACTTGTCCGGGTATTCTAGGTACCTCGTATCTTTGTTGGAGAAACCTGTATTGGTGGTTTTACAGAACTAGAAGCTCTAAAAAGAAGTGGAAAACTTGAGCCCATGTTAAAGAGAATTGGGGCTTTGTGAAGGTAAGTGACTGAACACAACATCCGAGTGTGAGTAAGAGGTCTAGGTGTAACTCTAGGACACCCATTGAGCACGAGAGGCTTATCATATATAAGCATCTGCATTGCTTAGATGGATTCCAGTGCATCACCTCACACACAACTTCAGCGTGAGAGGCTGCTTGCCTAAATAGCTTAATAGGTGGACCACACCCAGAGAGTTGCATACAAGTCTGTACTACAGGGTGCAAATTGTGCAAATAGTCCCCAATGTGGACATAGGCTTTTTAAAGAACAGCATGCCTCAGAAATAGTCTTGAATGGCTCGAAGTATACAACTGGCTGTGGGAATGGGGCAGCAGCCAAAAATGGCTAGAGTGCTTACTAGTAACTTGCATTTAAAAAGAGGCAGCCAGCATCTTCCTTCTGGCTAATTATTTCAACCCATTTCTTGGGTTATACTAGCACAGCTTTCCCCAAGCAGTTGTCCTCTAGATAATTTGCATTTATAAACTCCCATCTTCCCCAGTCAGCATGGCTAGTAGTTGGATATGATGGGAGCTGTAGTTCAACACTTGGAGGGCAACAGATTCTCCTTCTCAATATGAAGGAGCCCCCTGTGGGATAGGATCGCTGCAGGGAACAAACTGCTGTTTGCAGAAGAGGGGCTTTATGAGAGGCTACTCTCTTTCAAGAGGATTTTCTTTTTTCTCTGAAACCCAGTTTAAGATCTTTCAAGAAAGGTCTTGCTCAACTCTTGCATTTGGACCAATGCATACAGCAAATCCTGTTGCCTTTCCCATTGCCAAGGAGCTGAGAGTGCAGTTTCCAGTTACAGGCGACTAATGCAAACCCTTTGCATAGCGCAAGTGCTTTTCCTAGCTAGTGCAAAGATCCTGGGCTTAAACCCTACTGAAAGCTAGGAGATGGAACCAGAGTTTTCATTCTGGGTCCTGAAAGTGCACAGTCACATACTAGAGCAACAGCATAAGCACGCTTGTAAAAGCATGCTGCTGTGCTTTGCATGAAAGCCCAAAGCGTAGAGCAACAGCATAAGCACGCTGCTGTGCTTTGCATGAAAGCCCAAAGCCGCTGGAATCCCCGAACGTTCATTCTAATCATTTAACTCGCTTTCCTAGAAACCTTCCTTTGGCTTTAATTGGTTGTCTTTCACTTTCAGAGCAGAGATGCCTCTAGGCTGAGACTACCTCATACTGCAACCCAAGTCTTTGGAAATGAAACCGCAGTCGCCTACCTCCTGTTCTTTTCATGTGTGGTGGTGTTTATTGCATGTTTCAACACAGAGCGGTGATAGTGAATGCATCTAGTTTTCTTTTGGCTTGATAAGAATATGGCCGCAAATCCTTTTCACATGTCTGTATTCCTTTATTCCTGTTAATGTTACTATTCCCCTTTTATCCCTTTATGTCTCGATCCCTAATCAACTGGGAATGATTAAAAGGGATCTAGTAAATAAATGCTTGTTCCTTTAAAAAATTGTTTATTTATTTAGCCTTTACATCACACTAAGAGTTGGTTTTTTTTTGTTTGTTTGTTTGTTTGTTTTTGGCTTACTTCAGTTCCATCTTTTCCACTTCTTGGCATTAAATTTTTTTCTTTTTTTCTTTTTTCAGATTTGTGTGCTGATTTGGTTTATCTCAGTGTTTCTTTGAATCATGTCCCTCTATTAATAGTCAAGAAATCTGCAACCCACTGCCACATTTGCATAATAAGACATTTTAATGGGTAAAGAAAAGGCATTAAAACAGATTTTCAGAATATAATTAGAACCTAATATATTAACACTAATGTTAATATATTAACCTTTTAAGGAGAAAGGTGAGGTAAAATATTTTAAATAAATAAATTTTAAATGAATAATGCATTATTGGGAGGGGGCTGTAAATTTGCCTGTACCCGATTAAAATTTGAGAAGGAAAAAGATGTCACACACTTTTCAGTTAAATTTAATTATTTTAGTGTGGAAACTACCTTCCATGTCTCCTCTCCCCAAAAAAGCCCCCTTAAGGAACAGCCCCTCCACCTCAAGCCCAAATAAATACCTCCCCTATGGCCCTGCCCCATGCTCCAACTCCCGCCCCCCGTTTCCTCCCTCATTTTTTTGCCCCTCTTGCCTTGCTTCTCTCTGACTCAGGTGGAGACCAGAGGCATCTCCTGCCCAGGTTCCTTCTCCCTTCACTGCACCACCATCACCACACTGCCAAGAGGGGGAGACTCAGGGGAAGCATAAGGCACCAGTGCCATAGTGGTAACTTTTCAGCTGAGAAGTGGGGACATGTGCAGACAACCCCCCCCAGCCAGTTGCTAAAAAAGAGACAATTTTAAAAAAAATTAGCAGCTGGCCGACTTCCAGCCAGCTGCCTGTGCATGGACTCTCACCTCTCAGCTGAGAGGCAGACATCTGCACAGATGCAAAGATAGGCCTGACTCCTGGAAGGGAAGTTGGGCTGCTGTCTCTCTAGACGTTGCCTACAGTGATGGTAGGACAAAGTATGGAAGCCATGGAAACAATGGGAAGGGGGGGGCAGGCTGTGGCAGGGAGAATGAACCAGGATGTTCCTTACATCAGGGGAAAGTTTGTTGGTTCAGGAAAGTTCAGGCTCTCTGGTTTGGAACCCACCCAAATCAATGAACCGCAATTTTTGACAAACTTCCTGGTTCGTTTATTTGGGCAGGGCTCTCACGTGCACACGCATGCACGCACGCAATCAAGCACACAATCAAGCGCATGCGTGTGCGTGCACACACACACACGGTAGTGAATACAGCATCCAAAAAGTAGCTTCAACTATGCCTCCAAGGGCAGTTGTGGCTTAATCTCCAGTTCTATATTGTATGTATAATTATAATGTGATGCTATAATAAGTAGTGAATTGGGTGTTTAAATATTCACATATTAAAAAGGCAATCCTTTACAAAGTTAACATATAAAGGAGAGGGTCCTTAGCTGACAGGACTTTTCCCCATGTTGAGCGTAAAGTCAATGAATTCCTCCCACCTTGCACTTCCTGTAATCTGATGTGTCATGACTGAGTGAAATCACAACACACAGACCTTTGATTTCTAAGCTGCTAGATCTCATGTTTGGTAACGGTTATCTCTTGCTTGTGTAAATAACCTTGTCTTTGTGAATAAAATAGAAATGTTAAGAGCTATTCCCTCCTAGTGCAGAAAATAAAGAGGGCCTTCTACTGTGGCTGAGAGGCTTTCGTTTCCCACTCTCCACACACTGCACCATTTAATAAAGACACTCGTTTTTCTATCTGGAAGGTTCCATGCCTCCATCTACCACAGGGCTAGATATTGACATCAGAAAAGTAGCTGCTCTTTATCATAAAAGGATGTGAAACCGATGCTGCTTTCTGCTCAGAGCGACTGAGTGCTAACGTAAACAATAGTACAAGTATACTGAAATTATACTTGTGAGCTGGCTGGGATGTGGTGGCACTGTGGGCTAAAACGCAGAAACCTCTGTGTTGCAGGGTCAGAAGACCAGCAGTCGTAAGATCAAATCCATGCGACAGAGTAAGCTCCCGTTGCTTTGTCCCAGCTCCTCACCAACCTAGCAGCTCGAAAGTATGCATATGTGAGTAGATAAATAGGTACCACCTTGGTGGGAAGGTAAAACGGTGTTCCCTAGTCATGCAGCCCACGTAACAACGGAAACTGTCTTTGGACAAGCGCTGGCTCTACGGCTTGAAAATGGGATGAGCACCGCCCCCTAGGGTCGGACACAACTAGACTAAGAATGCCAAGGGGAACCTTTACCTTTTTACTGAAATTATGCTCAGGAGCCATCTTCCATAGCATAACAGCAAAACCTCTCGCTGAGCCATGCTGTACTTTTTATTAAATGTGTTGTATCCTGCATTCAGACTGGTTTGTAAAGAATTTACTGAACAAGCATTATAGCTCAGTTGGGTGATTTTATCTTATGGAAAGAAATGTGAGTCACTTCATCAGCAGAACTTGAAGTCATGAATTGCAAATAATGGCATTAGCAGAAACATGCTACTTTTACAGGTTAAGAGGGGCATAAAAATTAAGCAAATAGTTTTACTCCTTAAGGTTTTTTTAGTTATGGAATTGCTTTTGGAAGGATTTTGAGTACTCTTTCTACATGAATTTCAGGCCATTCTTTTGCTGTTTCAGATTTATTTTTACAAAAAAAGGGAAAGAAACTGAAGTTTGACAAAAAGCAACAAATAACCTAACACATTGTTACAATTACATATTTCTTAAAAGGCAGTACCAAATGATTTTCTCTCTAAAAAAATACTTTCCAAGTTCTACCAGCCAGCTCGCTTAAAGTGATTCTGTCACATTCAGTGCCAAATCTCTGAAACATGCAGTTGAAGGGCCTTTTTTTCATGTTGTGTGGAAACGATACAATGGTTTGCATTCTCAACACAGGTTTGGATAGTCAGACTCTTCTTGACAGTTAAGCTCTTCTATACAAAGGGAAGACAAGAGATGGGATGAGTAAGTAGTGTTGCCAGGCTAGTGGTTCCTCGTTTCCAGAGATTTCAGGTCAAAAGTCTGAGATGAGAGAGCCCACACGATGTCACAGAGGTGGGGTAGGCAAGAAACTGGGTTTGCTTTGGGGACAGCAGATTATGGAAATGGGCTTCAGGAGAGTCTAGGTTAACAGCAAAACTTGCCTAACCAGTGAAATTTGAACCAGTTAATATAGCATGAATTTGAGGGAAGTCTTCCTCTCAAAACACAATTCTGATTTCAGATATCAAATGCACATGGACTCGCCTAGTTTATCTGAATGCTTTTTGGTGCCCTCTTAATACCTATGTCTGCAGGCCCAGTTCGGTTGTAACAAAATCAAAACAGCTTCATTTTTCATCCTGTTGCTCTAGCAATTGAAGAACTCATTTCGTGTCAGCTGCTTCAAGCATGCACAGGGGGTCCTTCCGCCAAAAAACTTTAGACTGTAGCTCTAGAATATATGCCTGCACAAAGAACATACTGGAATGCTAGGCTCCTTGTGCACACCTTGAAATAGAAACAAATATAGGACTCTGATCAAAGTTTGACACACCTGGAAACTAATCAGTTCTCAACTCAGCTATGCAAACTTCAAGGTGACTTAATTTTTCCAACCACGCATGCTCCTGAAGATTACACTTGTTAATGGTCCCTCCATTCAAATCAACCAAAACAAAGCATAGTCTTCAACAGCACTAATGGATGGAAAAGTTAGGTGACTTTTGTGAATGTGAATAACTACTATAATTGTAGATTTCCTTTTAAAACTGATCTCTAAAACTATAGTTATTGTTTTAATATAATTTAAGTTCACAAGACGTAATGATAGTGTAACAGCATTGCGTTTGAAGAGGGCTATTTGGCTTCCTCTGATATATTTTATGTTCTAAAAAGCATGATTCAAAAGATCCTATGATTAAGTGGGCACAAAATATACGGCACAACATTGATATTGATCAATGGCTGAAAACATGGCAAAATAACATAAAGCTCACAAGATCGGTTAATTTTAAGGAGAATATATATAAGATGTTCTATAGGTGGCATATGACCCTGAAAAACTGTCAAAGATGTATACTGATGTATCAAATAAGTGTTGGAAATGTGAAACACAAATGGGAAGTTATTATCATATGTGGTGGTTGTGTGGGGTAGCGCAAAAATACTGGAAAAGAGTGCATGTTATGTTACAACAAATTCTGCTTTGTAAAGTACCACTAACCCCAGAATTGTTTCTATTAAGCATGATACCCGATAACATATATAGGTCAAAGGAACATATAGTTATATATATTATTACAGCAGCCAGAATTATGTATGCTAGAAATTGGAAAAGTACGGCGGTGCCGGAACAAGAAGATCTGATGGAAAAAATACGGGAAATAGCCGAAATGGACATCTTATCGGAAGTTATGAAGGACCAATCCTTGCAAAGGGCAACAGAAAGATGGGACTTATTTTATAAATGGACTGAATTAACAGGTAGTAGCTGAATATATATAGTGAAATGTGAACCTTATACATAAGGCAGAAAAGAGTAAATAGAATGATTTTGGATTTGATATGGCAATAGGTATAGATTGGATATTAGTATGCTATGATTTCCCCTCTCCCTCAGAAATCCCCTTCCCTCACAAACCCTAATCCCCATGTCCCTATGTCACCCTTTATGTAAAAAATAAAATTATATAAAAAATAAAAATAAAAAAATAGCTTATTTCTGTGTTACAGCTATTGGTCGTGAGAATTCAAACCAGTCCTACAATGAAATGTAATGAACATGGGGAAAATGTGCACTGGTTAAGTGGCAAAAAGAGAGGTTACTTACCTGTAACCATAGTTCTTCGAGTGGTCCTCTGTGAATCCACACAAATGGGTTTAGACTGCCCCTGTGCAGGACTCTTCAGAATATTTTAGAGCTTAAAAACATGTGATTAGTTGGACGTTCCCCCGTGGTGCGCATGCTCTGCCCGCCCGCAATACCTCAGTTCCAAAATGTCCGCTGCTGTCAAGGCTCTGACCATAGCAAAGCTCAAGACATCAAGAGACGGACAGCAGGGAGGATGGGCGGGATGTGTGGATTCACAGAGGACCACTTGAAGAACTATGGTTACAGGTAAGTAACCTCTCTTTCTTCTTCATGGCCTCTGTGAATGCACACAAATGAGTGATTAGCAAGCTAACTGACTGGAAGGAGGGCTGTCACGCTAACAATGAAGTCAGCACAGCCCTGCCGAAATTTGCTTCCTTCTTAGTCCTGACGTCTACACGGTAATGTGTCACAAAAGCTGAGGGTGTAGACCAAGTAGCCACTCGACAAATGTCAGGGACTTCAACACCGTGCAACCAGGCAGTAGAAGTAGCCATAGCTCTTGTAGAGTGTGCCTTTAGCACATCTGGCGGTGTCTTGCCTACCAATTCATAAGCCATCGTAATGGCAGAGACAATCCATCTCAAAATCATCTGTGAAGAGGCAGGAGAGCCTTTACATGGGCCATGAAAGCACACAACGAGTCACAGAGAAGTGCAGAAGTCCTTAGTCCTAGAAATATAAAAGGCTAAAGTGTGACAAACATTGAGGGAGTGGAGCATGTGTTCAACATCAGAAGAAGGAGACGCCACAGGCTGATATGAGACTATAGCCGAAAAATAAACTTTCAACGTTGAGTGGGCCACAACTTGATCAAAGAGATAATGAAGGAACTTGAGAAGTGTGTCCAAGGAAACGCTGTGAATTAACAAATTTAAGGAAAGCATTCCATTAATAACAGTAGAAGGCTTCCTAACCCTATCCAACAACTCCACTACAGTGGGGGAATTCTCCACGCCATGAGGTGTAGAGATTTCAGGTCGGGATGACAAAGCTGGCCATTGTCCTGGGTCAAAAGGTACAGCTGGAGCAGTAATCTCAGGAAGTTGGACGCCATGGCTGTGAGAGGGGTAAACCATAGTTGTTGAGGCCACCAAGGGGCTATTAAGATGGCATTGGCCCGCAGCTGATGGATCTTGACTATCGTCCACTGGATGAGGGGTAAGAGGTAGAGAAGGGTGTCGCCCCAATAAACCATGAAGGCATCACCTAGAGAGTTCTCGCCTCCATCCTTTTTGGGAACTATGAAATAATGGGAGTAAACATCTTGGGGAGGAACTCTGAAAATAGCGCGCTTTTGGAGTAGAAGAAATATTTCATCTTCTAGGGCAGGTGAGTAAGCAGTGGGTCTGACATGACCGATAGGACGCTCTGTGAACTCTACATAACATATGATGGCAAGCACCTAAGTGTCCTTGGTGATGACTGACCACTTGCTGAAAAAGGGGGTTAGCCATGGATGATGCGGGCGGGGGGAAACAGGTGCAGACAAGGAGAGCCAAAGGTATTGCTTGTTTTTTCATGTAGGACGATGGAAAGGTTGCCTGCACTGCTGAGCCTGGGAGCGGAAGGAGCGGCAGAAAAAGATTGAGGGTTGGATCTCTCTGGGTCTGGAGTGAACGGTTTGATTGCTAAAAAGTGAAGGGTCTATGCCATTGGCTACATTGATATCTGGGCTGCTGGGTGGAGTAGGAGCAGGCAGTTTTACGAATTTTGTGTAAATTGCCCATCACCTCGTCCGTCTTTTCATTAAAAAGACCAACTCCGTCAAAAGGAATATCCTCAATACGGGATCTAGCAACATCATTGATGCCCACTGAGCACAGCCAAGCATGTTTTCTGAGGGAAATACAGTGGAATACAGAGATGATATGCAACAATAGAGTTCATGGTTTTTAAAATTTGATTCAAATTTTGCTGTATGAAACACATTTATACACGTTTTCTTGATGTCATGCCATTAATTTAGTGGAATCCATAGGTACAGAAGATTTTTGAGAGTCCCCTGGACTTCAAGGAGAACAAACCTATCCATTTTGAAGGAAATCAACCCCGAGTGCTCACTGGAAGGACAGATCCAATACTTTGGTCATCTCATGAGAAGACTCCCTGGAAAAGACCATGATGTTGGGAAAGTTTGAAAGCAAGAGAAAGAGGGGACAACAGAGGACGAGATGGTTGGACAGTGTCATCAAAGCTACCAACATGAATTTGACCAAACTCCGGGAGGCAGTGGAAGACAGCAGGGCCTGGCGTGCTCTGGTCCATGGGGTCACGAAGAGTCGGACATGAGTTAACAATTAAACAGCAACAACAACATAGGTACAGAAAGAAATAGATGTTGTATCATGAACTTACAAAACTATTGCTCTGTCTTTGCAAGGGAATTACATGCTAATCTTGTTATAAAATGAATTTGTGCTACTAATCATGTAACAGCTCTTCCATCTGGGAAGGATTATTTTTCATTCCTCTATGCTAGTTTCATGGAGGGAGGTCAGCGTACAGAAGACCTTTTGTGTTGTCATGCCTATCTGGACTCAGACAGGCTGCCCTATGTATAAAGGTACAGTATCTGTGTGTTTCCTTTTGCTGTACTGTATCATGTTGCATTCCTGTCAACCATCTATACAATAAATCTTCTAAGGTACCAGTGGCCTTGATCAGACTCAAAGAACTAAGCTCACTGAAATTCTGGTATGAACTAGTACACATCTAGCACAATAAAGCATGTGTTATAAATCATACATCCTTTAAATTAGGGTGGAGAATTCTTTGCCCTCCCATAAACTTGGCACTGGTAAGGCATTGTGGAAATTGTACCCCAAATATCTTCATACTCATTGAGGATGCACTCCATTTGACTCAATTATCATATAAACTTTCAGCTCCTAAAGAGGGTCAGAAACCTATTCCAGCTTTGTGTTTAATGGGCAAGTAATCACATGAAATGAACACTTAGTAAAAACATTTTATTGACTTGTTAAACACAAATTAAACAATACATTTAAAATCTCATAAATTTAAAGCACCTGCTTACAAGAAGTTGTTTCATACTTCAACACATGCCATAATAAAATAAATGTTTCTTTTAGCTACAAACATTCTTATTAGTGTAACAGGTTTGTAACAAAGAATCTTACCATGATCTTAGGGTTGACTGTCTATAAAATTCATGCTGGCTTCACATTAACACATATCCACAGCTTCATTTAAGAAATTATAACAGTCTGTTACTGGAAATGATTTCCTTATAAAAATATAATTTTAAAGTAGTCCCTTCAATGTATGAATTTCTACAATGGTATCTATCAGTACCTCCATAATTAATAAATAACCAGTTATTGGAAATGCAGAAGGTATGCAAGTTATCTCCCAAAGCAGATACACTTTTTCTTAGAAGCAAGTCCCACTGAGTTCAACTGAGGCTGCTTTCAAGTTAAGTGGGCACAGTGGCTGCTGCATTAATTGCCCCTCAGCCATCTGAATAGAACTTAAGGAAAATTACAATCTGATCCCATTATTTTATTAAAGGGATGTCATAATTTGACAACTTTAGAGGGGCTAAAAGTAGCACGGAAACTATGAGCTCTGTGCCATTTTAATGGCCCATGTGGCTGGTCAAGCTATCCAAGAGTTCTCAGGCAACTATAATTAGAAATAAAAATCCAAAGTGTCTCTATATTTCAGAAGGTTGCTCTAGAACTGATTCTTTTCTGAAGCTGAACTAATTCAGACAAATACAAATATACATTATATCAAGCTACATGAAGATCCTGAGCATTAATAGGTACTCCATCTCTAGTTATCAATCCTACAAAGTCCAAACTAGTTTCCCTAATTTTAGGAGCCTTCGGACACTTGTTCTTCCTATTCTGCAGGAATATTAGTGGTTCTGTATTTTCCCTCCAAGTTATACACAATCCTTATTACAAAGCGTCAGTGCATTTTAACACACTATATGATAAGGTCTTAGGATAGGGTACAAACACTTCAAGAGCATGATGCATATCTGTAACAAGCTCCAATATGTGGCTATCCATTCCAAGTGAAAATGTTCTAGAAAAAATCTTAATTTTAAAACATTTGTTTAAGAAGTTTATTTCTACGTTTACATGCTAAAATCACTGGAATAAATTATTAAATCTATTTGTGATTTAGTTAGAGTATGCAGAATTAGTATATACCACATGCAAATATAGGGTACAAATGAGGAATTACAAACTATTTTTTGTCTTTGCATACTCAGTAAATAATCAGAAAGTATGGGAACTCTTCATGCTTGTCCAACTAACTTACAAAATGTATTGTAATTTAAAATTTAGTGTAACATATTATACAGTAAATGATTCTACTTTATGCAATTTCATATTAATCAATTATACAGGATTTTAAAAAAAATGTTGGCTTCTATTGGAAAGCAATTATTTTCCAATAGAAGTTCCACAAATGCATCAAGCATTAAAAACCTAATATAAAACTCTATTTTTAAGGGCTGTTGAAATATACATGGATTATATGGGACCACTGATTGGTGCAGCGCATTTTATAAAGATGTGAACTATGTGCCAGGAAGTTCCTGGTTTAAACCTCACCCCAGGTAACACAGACACAATCTTTCACCGTGTTTATGCATAAGAATTTTAGTGTGGTACATATTGACAGGTGTCTTGAGGATTACCCAAGCAAACTGCTGGCATATGTAAACACATGAATAAATAAGAACAACCCCAGGCTCATTGTAGTAGGGCACACGGCTTGTCTACAAAGAAAGCAATCATCTGAGTGTGAAGTATTCCAGAGACACGCCATCTGAATGCACCGTGACCTCATGCAAGGCCCACCAGAAATGAATTGAGGGGGGTACTTACAGCCCTTACCTGGACTTGTTAATTAAACTTGGCTGATATAAGGGATGATAAAAGTGACTGAGAGGAGCAGTGAAGTTAGGCTCCCTGGCCCCTTTCTTATGCCCATTTAAGTCACACACATTTATGGGGTTTCACAGACCACACTTGCCTACTGGATCCCACCTTGCTCCACTTCACTTTGCTGGCACAAAGGATGCCTTACAGATGTATAGAACTGTGGCCATCTTTATTCCCTGCTTCCACCTGAACCATTCAGAAAACACTTTGTAGACAACAGCCTATTCTTCGACCACCTCTTTATTTTACAGGACACAGACAAGCGGAAAAATGATTGGTGCGATTTTTGTTGCATTAGACATCTCAGTGAGGAGAAAAAACTGAGTTATTTTCTCAAGGAAGAATGATCTACTTTTACATTATTACACAAATTTGGTGCAGCTGAAGGGGGGCACTTTTAAATTCCTAATATAGAACTTTTATATACAATTTTAAATGTCTAATATTAAACCTAACACTAAACCCCCTGTGTTTGTACAAAATTCTTAAATAACTCATAAATAAATTACAGAACTAACTAATAGAACTAGCCAGTATACAAAAAAGTAGGTTCATGAATTTGGAATCTCTTCAGACTCCTAAAATCCCTATCATAGAGGCCAGTCAGATAATTACACTCTAAATCAGGGATTTACATACTATAACTCTTCAGATGATTTTGGGGCTGCAGATCCTCTCATCCTTTGGCACTGGCTAAGGGTGATGGAGTAGTACTTTTAACATCCAAAGGGCCAGAAGATGCCTAGCCCTGCTCTAAATAGTCCACGCCCCTCTTTAAAACAAAACAAAACAAAACAAGGTGATACAAGTCAAAGTATTAAAAAAGAAAGAAACTTGGTCAGCAACATAACTAAGTCACATCATGGTTAAATGCTTATGCTGTCCTGAAATTTTTCACATGCTTTTTAGTACAGATTATGCATTAGCAAGTGCAACGGTATATATTGTTTCACAGTACAGTATTTTACCTCAGTATCTGATTTCAGTCTTGAGAAGTTGTAAGATATCTACAGTAAACTGCCTTTCTGTGACTCTCCTTTTTGTAAATAAAGAAAGATCTGTTTTCAGTTTACATTACTAGACAATGGCATTTTCGGGTTAACCCAAATATGTGATTCACAGAGGCCACGAAGAAGAATGTCTGTTTTCAGTTTACATTACTAGACAATGGCATTTTCGGGAATGAATGTAATTCCTGTACTCCGCGAGCTGCTTCAGGTACATGCTAGAAGGCCATCTATGCATCTCAACAAAATTACGTTCTTCCACTGGAAATAAAAACAAAGGCAGTTAAATTACGTTCTTCCAGTGGAAATAAAACCAAAGGCAGTTACGTCTTGTCATGCTAAAATACTTTGTGTCCATTGATACAAATAGTCTCTGACACATTTTTTCAAATGAGAAGCATCTATGAGATTCTCCCTACTGACAGATCTGATCTACAATTAGTTTCAGATACTCTACTTAACCTGGGGTGAGGTAGGTTGGGTGAAAAGCATTCAGTCAGTTTTACCAAACACATTATGGAAGTGGGTGGACATATTTCTTTAATGTGAAACAAAATACAGCACAGTTTTTCTGAGACTTGACATAAAGAGAAGTAGAAATATAAGGGAAAAATCAGGGAACCTGGGAGAAAGCAACACTGTTAATCACTGTACAGTACTACTGCAGACCCTTTAAAAACAGAAGAATCTTTCTCAACTTGGTATTTAGTTTATACCTAAATAGTGGTTCATAGCCTTGGTTCCTCAAACTATCCAGCATTGTTTCTTTATGTCATGAGGTGATTTAAGGAAACAAATACATTAAGAGGTGGTGGCCAATAATAGCTGTTGTGAATTGTCTGGGGTCTGCAGGCCCTGCCATTTGTTCAACTATGCTGGAAGTGCATGCCAGTCCTACTCTTCCCTCTGCCCCCAAAAGATTACTGTTGGCATTTTGTGCCACTTGCCTTCCCCACTGTGGGAAGCACAATCTGAGTGATTCCTGGGCTAAAAACATTACCACTCGTTGTATGGGAGGGAATGAGCCTCTGATGGCAAATTATGCCTCGGGTCCTATTTGGAGATCACTTTTTCATTTATTTCTTCTTGCCTTCTAGTGCTGTTTTAGGCCTGTGGTTTCAATAATCCTTCATAAACCTCCACACCTTTCTCAAACTTGTTTTAGCCTGTCCTACAACCTCTCAGAATTTTGGAGAGATGTGTGTCTTCCTTACAGATTTATTAAACCATCTGGCATTGTGTCAGCCTGGCAAGCTTTTCCATAGTAACCAGTCAGAAGGGCAGATTCCAGTTGATTTACGGATTAAAGCAAGCAAAATAAAATATTGTCATTCTGCTAAAGCAAATGCAGTAAGACTATGCTCTCATTTTGACAGTGAGAACTATAGTACCAAAACTAAAATCCATCTTTTTTAAAAGGGAGCAGTTGGTAAATTACCTGAAAGGTCTTCAAATTCAGGTTTTTGACTGAAGATTAAGTAATTAGAAGCAATAAAATGAAGCAGCCAGTTTGAAAGGCAATCAGAGTTATGAAACTGTACGAAAAAATAGAAATAAAGTACAAAGGAATATCAGTGTCATAGAAAAAAGATGTTGGCATGAACAATATACATAGTTTAATATATAAATACTTCACTATACTTTAATACTAGCTACTTTCAGAGGTCTCCATATACATTGTGTGCTTGTGTGTGCGTGTGTGTGTGTGTGTGTGAGAGAGAGAGAAAGAGAGAGAGAGAGAGCAGGCACATATGTACTATACACATATATTTGTAAAAGTATGTATATGTGTATGTATATACCTGTATAAATATACATATACACACACACTTCAATACCATATATACTTCCAAAAGAAATAATGCAAAATAAAGCATAAAATGAACTTTAGCCTGCTCTGGTGTATTATTAAAATGTTCAGAATGTATTCAACACACTTATTTAACACTATTCTTTTAGAGTTCACAATACAATCAAGAGTCAGTCTATACAAGTCTGTGGTGAAAAGAGTAAAGAAGGGAGACTACCGTACCTACATTTTAATGGTAGTTGAAATAGAGGTGTAGGGCTAAGACTGAGGATACAACTATGTGTGACAATAAATACAGTTTTGCCTTGCCTATAATACTGGAACTATGGTTCACATGGGAATTAAACCTTCCTTGACCTATGTACCATGTTTCCAAGAAAAATCATGCCCCCTCAGTTGCTACTTGTTACAAGAGACAAACTGCCATTGATGCCAAGAAACAGAAAAGACTATAAAACTCTATTTCTAAAAGAACAATAAGACTATTCAGACAGTAGCAGACTTCATTCTTAATGAATGCTGAACTTGCTACAATAAATTAGGGGCAGAATTGGGAAAATGTTGGGGACCACTGTCCTAGAGGATCCAAGGTGGCTTACAGTATTGAAAGAAACAATGTTAAAAGCTAAATAACAAATTATTACAATATTTTAAAAAGCATTAAACAGATGTCGTATTACAACTCATAAATAAGAGCAATATTAAAAGCTCGAGCAAAAGAACAGAATAAAATAATCCCTTTAAAAATCCCCTTTAAAAGTAATTAAAAGGAAAGGCTGCCTGGAGAGAAATGTCTTCATCGGCTTGCAGAAGGACAGCAAAGATGGGGCTAGGCCTCTCATGGGAGAGTTTCTGGCTCTGGGAGTAGCAACAGAAAAGGCCCTCTCCCATGTCCCCACCACATGTGCTTGTGAGGGTGATGGAATCCAGAGAAAGGTCTCCCCTTAATACCTGGGTAGACTTACAAAGGGAGATACAATCTCTTAGCTTGGATCCAAACCATTTAGGGCTTTACAGGTTAAAACCAGCACTTTGAATTATGCCCAGAAATGGGATCAACTACCAGTGGAGCTGCAGTAACAGGGGGATGATGTGCTCCCTGTAACCAACCCCAGTTAACAATTTGGCTGCAGCGGTTTTGACCTGCTGGAGTTTCTGAACACTTTCCAAAGACAGACCCACATAGAGCACATTACAGTAATCCAACCGAGATGTAACTAAAGCATGTGTTACCATGGCCAGATCAGACCTCTCAAGGAATAGGCACAGCTGGAGCACTGGTTTTAACTGTGCAAAGTGAGTCCTGCCACTGCCAAAACCTGGGCATCTAGTCTCAGAGACAAATCCAGGATCACCCCCAAGGTATGCAGCTGTGTTTTCAGAAGGAGTATAATCCCATCCAGCACAGACTGAATCCCTTGATCTGCCTTTTAGCTGACCAGGATCACCTCTGCCTTGTCTGGATTAAGTTTCAGTTTATTTGCCTTCCCCCAGTCTATTACTGACACCAGATACTGATGTAAAACTGAAACAGCTTCCTTGGATTTAAATGGAAGGAGAAATAGAACAGGGTGTCATCAGCACATTAGGGACACCGAATCTCAAAATGCAGACAACCTCTTCCAGCAGTTAATGTAGACGTTAAATAGCATAGGAGAAAAACTGAACCCTCAGGGATACCACAGGCCAACGGCCAGGGTGTCAAACAAGAGTCCTCTAGCACCATTCTCTGAGGTCCACCCTCCAGGAAGGAATGGATCTAGTGTAAAACAGTGCTTCCAAATCCCATCCCAGAGATATGTCCCAGAAGGATACCATAGTTGATGGTATCCAAAGACACTGAAAGGTCCAGCATAAACAACAGGGACACACTACCCCTGTCCAGTTCCTGGCACAGATCATCTATCAAGTTGACCAAAGAAAGCAGTCTCTGTCCCATAACCAGGCCTAAAGCTAGACTGAAATGGCTCTAGATCATGTGTCTCATCCACGTACCCCTGTTGCTGAGAAGCCATAATGTACTCTAGCACTTTGCCCATGAATGGAACATGCTGGTAATTATCCAATACCATGGGATCCAAGGAGGATTTTTTCAACTGGTTTTACTACTGACTCCTTAAAGCATGCTGTGGTACTTTTCTACTGCAAGGAAGCATTCACCACTACTCGTATCCACTCAGCCGGTCCCCCTCTAGAAGCATTTAAATGCCAGGAAGGTCAAGGGTCCAGTAGACATGTGTTAGCCTTCACCTATTCAAGAGTCCTGTCCACAACATCAGATATTATAATTGATAGCATGAGGAAGGTGAAGTACACAAATAGGTCAAGGAACATTAGCTGCTGCAAGAAGCCAGTCCACAATAACTGAGGGGGAAAGACATCATAAGGTGGCAGTTCCAAGCAGAAATAAGTGTAGACTTTTGAAAGGTACCCAGTATCAGAAATGGGTGGAAACTTTCAATAAATTATTTTATGATGTTATCACTGAAGGGAATATCTTCTCCAGATGGCTCTTTCACCACAGATAAAGTTGGAAGCATGGGAAACAGTTCCATGGTTGGTGACATTAACAGCAGTCTGATGATAGCCAGCAATCAGCAACTCACATTTAGGTCCATGCCATAAAAAGCATGAAACAAAAAGTGCTCAAGCTCTTGCTAAATAGTTAGGGGCAAGCCAAGCAGTTCCCTCTCCAATTTTCCAGCTACTTGGTATCCCTTGCCTCAGAAAGGAAACTACGGTGTGCCCCAGATTTTGTTGGCTGCAGAAATGCCAATAAGAAACCTTGTTGGTCAGGAACCAGTAAAAGTGAATATGTATATACCGATACTTTATACATTTACAAACGGTAATCCTCACCTTTGCCTTTCGAAGCAAGCTGACAACACTCAGACTTGTTGATGCCAGCTCCCTACTGGGCATACTCTGTAGTTGTGTGATGATATAAAGCTCACAGATGTGCTGGAGCCTTGACACCTGGTACATCTCAGCACAAATTAAAAGTGACATGGCTTGCAAAATGCTGGCTGATAAAAAAAATCAAGCAAGAGTCAGATTAGTGCACATTAACTAGCAAGGTAAGGACAGGTTATGTACTTTTAACTGTAGTTCTCTGAGTAGTCATCTGTGAATTCATATTAACGTATTGTTTTGTTCCAGCACAGATGCCCTCAGCATCTTCTAGAGCCTGGAAAAAAGTGTTAGCCCACTCTAGCACTTAGTGCATGCTCCTGCACCCAGTGCTAGAATTCAGTTCCCATGTCTGCAACTGAGTCAAATGCAAACATGCGAAAGATAGAGGGGAGGTTGTGTGAATTCACAAATGATCACTTGAAGAACTTCACTTAGTTCAATAACCTGTCCTCCTTCTTCATGGTCTTTGTGATTCACACTAATAAGTGACTAACAAGCTAATTTACTGGCTGGTGGGATGTCATGTCATCAAAGACAAGATCATTACTCAGCCAAAGGATGCAACAAGGTTTTCTCTGATGTTCAGTCTAAAATGCATAATGACAGTCATGAGCAGAGACTACATAACTGCCTTACAGATGCCCTTCATCTGTACCTCTTTTAAAAAGTCTGATGAGGCAGCAAGCACCCTGACAGAAAGTTCTTTCAAGAAGCTTGGAACAGGTTTCTTAGCCAACTGGTAAGACAAGATAACCACATTTACAAGCCACTTGTATACTCTGAGAGGAGATGTAATTGCCTAACCAATCTCCTTGGCAGCAGAGGAATAATCTGTTAGTTATCCTAAAAGGTTTTATCTTTGACACATAAAAGGCTAGCACCCTGCAAATATCAAGTGTCTGTAATGTTTTCTCTAAATCTGTAGTAGAGTCTGGAAAGAATGCCAGCAATGCCAGAGGTTGGTTGATGTGGAAATGTTACGACGTTTGGGACAAAAGACATACCTGTTGTAAGAAACACCTTATCTCTGAAGGCAAGTGCCAGGGTTATTGTTTTTAATTCACTGGCAAACTAAGGGGGAAGGGCTGTATTTTCTCCCACAGTATGCTGCCATGGACACCTAATAATTTGCAGCTCAGATGTTGAGTATATTCTGCATCTGATGGCATCCATTTTTCTGCCTGTTTAGTTATGGGTGTTATTTTAGATCTTGTCTGGGACACTTGGATCATGATTTAATTAAATTGTTAATAGAAAAAATGAATTCTTTGTCTTGTATTTTGTTTTCAACTCTTCTCTGTGTCAGAGAGGGTTGATGGTTTCTTCCATAATTCTTTCATCAAGTATAGTAGCTGGCAGCATGGTTGTATGGATAGGTGTGGAAGCATTCTTTTGAACTTAAGGCAGACAGTGTCAGACCTAGGAGGAGGGCTCTGAATTTCTATTTGCAGTGACACTGCCATTCTAAGCATTAAGTCTGTGAAGGACCTGATGTCATCTGATGAGAGTTGTTAGATGTAGAGGCACTAACATTGTGTGTGTTCTCCTCGATGTCAAGCTCTAACATCAAGGGTTTTTCAGGTTCAGAGTCTTTGACTTGGTTTTGACCCTTATCTAGTTGGCACTGGGGTTGGAGGAGTGTTCCAATTACAGCCTCCTAAATTTCAGTGCACACTGTTGAGGTACTTTGATGGTTGATCGGTCTTAATGTCTGATGATGAGTTTGATACCAGAGATGTGATGAGGCTCCAGGGACTTCAAAATGGACAGCCTTCATTTCCTGCTCCAAGTGTGTTGGTGTTCCAGCACTGGAGGGGTTGGTGTAGAGAAGCCCAACATCAAGCTACAGTATGTGGCCAAAGATCCTATTCCATGTGCCCTCTGAAAATCAGGAGAGGGTGGCATAAAAGGCCATTCATCATCTGCACACAAATGAGGTGGGACTTTATAGAAGAATGAGGGTAGGAAGGAATTCTCCCCCACTAGCATCTGCTCACATGGGATGGGCTGTGGCCTGTTCGCTGGGAGAGTTCCCATAACTGACAGATGGAGATCCTCTAATTCCAAGCATGGTGATCAAGATTGAGTGGTTTTATTGCATTGGTGTTTGTCAGAAACCTTCATGGTATCTTCCTGGGTGGATTGGGATGCTGGCTCACCACCATCCCAACATTTCAATTGGCTCTATATTGGTGACTTCCTTGGGTGACTTTCTGCTTTAAAACAGCGTGTCCCAGGACTGTGCGCCTAACGGCGTGCGCAATTCTCAAATTCTATCTCTGGCCTTAATATGGTAAATAGGAAAGCCAATTAGATTTGCATAAGCCTGGGAGGCAGGAAAGTTTTAAGGGTCAGATCATACTTTCGCACCATTAAAGAGAGGGCCAGGTAGTCGGGGCTCGTCAGCCATGGAAGGCAGCCCATCTAGGAGAAGGAAAACTCCGATTTCAAACCTCCACTGCCGTGTGGCTATATCCACTCATGGAAAAGGCGTCAGGAGTTAACCTCGAGGCAAAATCCGGAGCTGGAGTCCCAAAGGCATTTCGTGTTGTTCTGCCAACTCCTGCGACGTTGCTGGAACCAGTTGTATTGGCTCTTGCCTTTCCATTGGAACATTTCAGCAACGTGGAGAGGGGGGATCTGCTACTTGGGTAACAGCCTATCCTCCATATTACCTTACCCGGGCTTCATGCTCTGGAGAGGACACTCCTCGATTCAGAGCATGTTACCATAGTCTCTCGAAACTGAAGGATGCCTATGTATATTGGTGACTGTGTTAAAGGAGAAGAGGCACTAGATGAAAGGAGCAGGGCATCGTCTCTGTCTGATACTGGCCTCCAACAGAACTCGTTGTGTACTTTCAGCTGGGAGGTCAATAGCTGTGGAGTTGGTGATGGTGTTTTCCTTGTCGAGTTAATGGCACTGGTCTTTTTAAACTGTCGGTTAACCTTTCCTTTTCTTCAATATGGAAGGTGAGGGTTTCAATGCAGACAGTGTCAAAAACATGTTCTTTGGAGGTGACCTTTGCGAGGTTCTCGATGCTGCTGGAACTGGCTCTTCTTGGATGTTTTGGCTCATGTCAATTTGACTGGATTCCATAAAAATTGACTCAGCAGGAGTCTTGCAGATTGGGACTGGCGGTTCCATACTCTCCTGAGAGATCATGTCCACTGCTCAAAGTGACCATCCCCAAAGGTACAACTTGAATTTTGCTTGCCTATTTTTAATGGTGACTTTTGCAAACTTCTCACAAAATTGTCAAGACTGTGTATGATGGTTCTTCTCTGAGGAAATACAGGCATTTGAGTGTCCATCTGAAAGATGGTTTTAATATTACAACTCTCGCACTTGAATGGTGCAAAAAAAAAAGCCATAAAAGGCAGGAATGTGTAATGAGGAACCAGAATTTTTTCTCCCCCTCCTTTTTTTTTAACAGAGAAAAAGAGGGCTAACAAAAATGAAAAGATAGAAGAAAGGGAACCTGAAGAACAAACTTTTTACAAAATATTGAATCAGGCTCCAGATTATCACTGAGGTGCTGCTACAAGCAATGGTCAAAAAGAAAGTGAGTGCCAGCATTAAGTTGAGTAGCAAGTACCAAGTGCCAGGGTGGGGCTAATAAACTTTTTTCTAGGCTCTGGAAGATTCTGCGACATCTGCGCAGGCACAGAACAACCCACAAGTTTGAATCACAGAGACAGAGAAGAATCACCATAATACAAATACAAGCACACTGCTGTATGCTTACTAATTTGTATGGGTCAGCAGTATTCATTTTTAAATAGTTTTTTCTGCAAACATGATATTATTGGTCCTTTGGCAAAGTTCTTGAGATTTCAGAGATGCACAATTGCCACAGCCATACATGCATCCAAAATAGCTATATTAAGGTTAATGCAGTAAACAAAGTGTCTATATGTGCAGCAAACATTCTCTTACACCCAAGGAAGTTTCATGTACATTACAGCGGTCACTTGCAAATTAACGATCAAGCAGAAAACATCCTTTCAAAGTATTCATATACAGATTGTAGCACAATTGCAGTTTTAAAACATTTTACTTGTGGCTTCTTCAAATAGTACAAAGAAAGAAGAAACAAAGAAAAGATGAAAAGGTGAGTGAGGAAAATAAAAGGCATCAATGGCAAGATGTAGCTTATTTTATGTAATTGTTTTTTCTCTTGGTGATTTATATATAATCATACGAATTCCAGCTGCAATATACAATGCCTGTTAAATCATTAGACATTTGTGTGGACTTGAAGATACAGCATCAAATATTCAGATTTACTCTTTCTTTATATTTAGCAAGAAGCCAGAACATAAAATAAAGGTTTGCAGTGCATTTGCCACAGTGATCAATGAAAGTGATAATGTGGTACTTGGCTAACAATGCTAAGCAGTAAGCAAAAAATGAAGGCCTGGCACTGAGGGAAGATGGCTGAGTCAGCACAGCATAGGTGCACAACTGCTGTCTGTTCAAAAGCCTTCACATGGCCAGTAGTGGCCAGTTAGTAAACATTTGCTAGCAGGGTGCTGATCCAGCTGCCAATTAGAATGTGGCGTACGTCAAATTACTACGTATGTTTCTTTCCATCTCAGGTAACTGTTTTTTATATTGCTTGGTTATTTCTCTTGGTGTCTAAGGTTATTACACAGACAAAATTGATAGTCCATCTACTTTCCTGTTCTTAACCCTAGATTCTGTTCAATTGCACCTCTACCTCTACTGCACCCCAGCATGTCATCTGGAGCACAAGAAGAAAAGTTTTTTCCTTTCTTCTGTTGTAGACAAAATGCAACTATTCAGGAATACCTATGGGGCTAGTTATTATTCAAAGTAAGTATTATAAGGTTATTCTAATACATATTCTTAACATTGGAGAGTTTCAGTTATTTACTTTTGAATATAAGTTGAACCTTGGTGTGAATTATGCTATCTGCACTAAAATCTCTTTGCACCCCAAATACCCATTTCATTCTTCCTTGCTTCAATCACAAACCTTCTAGCACTGTGCACTAGTATCTAATAATGTGCAGCAGCCCAGATACTCTCTTGAATCCAATATGCAACAGGAAGGGGAAGTCTTTTGTTACTGAAAATTGCTTCAGTTGTTAGAGATATCCCAGTGCTCGTGATTTTTTGGTAATTCCCCCATCTGTCCTGCAGCTCCAATTACTATCTAGCGATGAAAGTGATTATATGGGAGCCTTGGAACAGAAGCTGGCAATGTTTAATTTCTGAAAAATCACTCCCACTGATGACCTCATCAGCCATGTATGGGCATAGTTGCATGAACAGGACTACAGTCAATAACAACTAAGAATTTAAAAAAGGTTACAGTTGTGCAGCACAACCCAATGCACGTTTACCTGAAAGAAAGGTCCATTGCGTTTATTGGGATTATAACTCAAATTAAGTACACACAAGTGTAGGTCAATCATAGTACAGTATTTCCCCAAAAATAAGACAGGGTCTTCTATTAATTTTTGTTCCAAAAACTCATTAGGGCTTATTTTCAGGAAAAAAAATTTTTTCATGTACAGTCAACCCTCGACTTACGAACTTAATTCGTTTTGGAAGGACATTCATAAGTCAAAAAGTTTGTAAGTCGAATCAGAATTTCCCATAGAAATGCACTGAAAACCAATTAATCCGTTCCGGCTGTTTTTGGTTTAGGTCAAGGGGTGGTTTGTAAGTCGAAGCATTAGTTCCAATAGGAACTAGTGCAAAACCAGTTAATCTGTTCTTACCATTAGGGGCTGATTTTTTTTCTTTTAACCTAAGATGACTTACGTTTTAAAAAAGGAAAGAAAAGAGTTCATAACTCAAAGCAAAGTTTGCAAGTCGAGCCAATATTTTCCTATTGGAGCAGTTCGTAAGTCAAACTGTTTGTAACCAGGGCCGTTCGTAAGTCGAGGGTTGACTGAACAACAATCTACATTTATTCAAATACAGTCATGTATTCTTCTGGTTGCTGCACAATGGTGGAGGGAGGGGTTTCACTCAACTGGGGCTTATTTTTGGGGTAGGGTTTATATTACGAGCATTCTGAAAAATCATACTAGGGCTTATTTTCAGGTTAGGTCTTATTTTAGGGGAGACAGGGTACAGGATGGAATTGTGATATTTACTTATGCCTTTCCCTCCTTCTTCATAAAACAATAGTTTGAACAAGTATTTACCAGAACCATGTGACATTTCAAGATACAAAAAGGTTTTCATGTTTACTTACGTGGACAGCAGGAGTCAGTATACAGATATTCTAGAAAGGATAGGAAAGTGTCTTTCGAAATCCCATATACTGGAACTAGAAAACTATTCGATTCTATGTAGTTACCATTAAACATTGCTGCCATTACCTCACAGCGAGCTACCAGGACTGCTCTGTGAGCTGGTACTGTAACACCTGTAAGAAAGAGGATAAGGGAGAAAAGGGAAACCGTTACCACACTTTCAACATGTTAACAGTCAAAATTATTTAATTGAAAGGCTACGTTTACTTAAATCCTTTAACATGGATTTTTAAAAAAGGATTTTATCATTAATTTTAGCAATAGCTTAATTTGATGGGATATACATCTACAGTCCATATAAGCTGAAATACCATGTTTCCCTGAAAATAAGATAAGGTCTTATATTAATTTTTGTTCCAACAACACATTAGGGCTTATTTTCAGAGGATGTTTTATTTTTTTTCATGTACAACAATCTACACTTATTCAAATACAGTCATGTCATCTTCTTCTGGTTGCTGCACAGTGGTGGAGCGCGAGGTTTCAGTTAACTGGGGCTTATTTTTTTGGTACGTCTTATATTATGAGCATCCTGAAAAATCATACTAGGGCTTATTTCAGGTTAGGTCTTACTTTCAGGGAATTAAGTCAAGGCAAGCAAAGTACAACCCTCTAGCCAGTGCAGAGGAATCGATGCTTTTGTTACCAATGGGTGAAGTTTTATTTAATTCTGTAGAATCACTTTTGAGTAAAGGCATTTAGAATTGTACTGTACACATCCTAAAATACAACACAAGAAAAAAGAGAACTGGAGAAATGCTCATGTGTCAACCGCTGCTGCCCAATGCACTACCTGACCCAAGAAAGTGCACTAGTAAAACAAAATAAATTTATATTGAAATATCCACTTTTACAAATGCATATGCAGTGACAATTCTCAGATACATTCTGCTCCCCTCCTCTGATATGATGAAAAAGAAAAGTCCAGAAGCTTTCATTTTTCACTTTCTCCCACAGTGTTCAAACCTGGGAGAACTCTGGTTTGTTTGAATTATTACTAGCTTTATACAAACCGGCATCCCTGATTTTCCTAGTTAAGTTTCTAAATATAGTTCAAACTAACCACTTTACACAAATTCAGGCCCAATGGAAACTCTTGCAGGTTTATAAGACCTTAGAAGAGGAAGAAAACATTTGATCATCTATTCCTTGTGACTGGGCCAAAAAGAAGGGAGTACGAACAGGAATAACCCATAAGCTTGAGGTTAATGCATGTAAGGTCCTGGTCACTTGAAGGAAATGTTTCTTCTCCCCAGTTAGTTCGTTGAGGACACACAATCAACACTGAAACATTTTCCCTGGCAGGGATGCAACTGTCGAACATTTCTCCCTCATCAGGAGGGTTGTGTTATTTAGTACCTGTTGCATTCCTTACCCAGATTGCCTGTGTGCACAATCTGCCCCGCTTCTTTTCAGAATCAAAGCCAGGAAGACGGCAGTCATTTTTGCGGTGCACATATTAATTTTTTCCCCAATCAGTACACTGATACATTGGTAAAAGAATTTCACAGGAAGGTGCCACCATTACATTACTGGCAGATAATTTTTATTATTATTATTTCTGTGGAAGATACATTGAACTGTTGGTATGCCAATGTCACTGGGGGGAGGTGATCGCCAGTATTGATGCACATTTTTTTCACTTTCTGTGCATAGCATTTGTATGTATATCTATGCAGGAGGTGCTGCCCTTTCTGCCAAATGTGCACCTTTTTTCCCCATGGCTGCTGCTGTACTAGCAGCACAGCCATAGATGGTGGTCCTATGTCCCTTGTGTGCAACGCATTTCCGCAGGAGTAGCCAGCACAACAGAGGACAGTTTCCAAAAGAGAAACACCTACCAAATATAGCAATATATCGATAAATATTTTTTTCAAAAGTAAATAAATCAAGAGGTTAAATCACCCCTTGAAGCAAGAGAGAAAATAATCTGGCACCATGGTGTAGTTGGCCCTAATGATTCAAACAGGAGAAAATAAATTGGTAATGTTAAAAGTTTTTGGAACATTCACCCTGGTATATATACCATGAGACTGAGATTCAGTACAACAGAGGTATGGAAAGTATCGGAAGAACTAGAGAACATTCCCTCACAAGACCAGGGCCAAACACTAAACCAGAGTGTACAGTTAGTTACCACTGAACTGTCCTCTATATCCTCATTTTCATTTCACCATATTAAAAGAGTAGTTTCAGGACTAGTATATTTACTAGCTTCTACACAATGTACGAATACTTCAATTGAAATTAATATCATATAGGTGTGATCTGCTTAATGTAACTGTCTTGCATTCTAATATAGCTTGATACATCTAATAATCTATGTCACTCTAGCATATATTGCCAGTCTAGGAAAAAAAGAAGTTTACAGCTGCAGACTTTCAAGCAGTCCTAATAATTTTAGTAGAACGATTGCAGAAGTGAAAATTTTAAAGATGAAGTATTCTAAAGATCTCTATGTACCATAAAACTCCACAGAAACACACAGCTGGTAACTGCAGTGACTTCTTTAGGATTAGATACTGTATCTTATAATATAGCACATCTCTCTAAGAACTTTAAGGCGCTTTCAGGTATAGGAGAAGAGCTCCAAATAAATACAGTAGTTTTCAACTAATTTTTAAACCATTGCTGAAGAGGACTGTGATACATAATTTATGTGTGTGTGTGGGGGGGGGGAAGACTTGAAAATGTCTCCAGTATTTCCTATTTATAATGAACTGCTCTGTAGGAACAGAGAAAAACAATGCCCTAATCAAGCTTTTGTCCATACTGGTGTTTCTCTGCCTTCATGGCTAACAAGTAGTTATGTGTCATCTTGCATGGAACTTTTTAAGAGGACTGTGATACATAATTTATGTGTGTGTGTGGGGGGGGGGAAGACTTGAAAATGTCTCCAGTATTTCCTATTTATAATGAACTGCTCTGTAGGAACAGAGAAAAACAATGCCCTAATCAAGCTTTTGTCCATACTGGTGTTTCTCTGCCTTCATGGCTAACAAGTAGTTATGTGTCATCTTGCATGGAACTTTTTAAAAAAATGTCTCATATTCCACAATCTAGAATCTTTATCACAATACCTGGTGTGTATATAGAAAAGGATGGAACAGCTATTTGTACATCTTTAAAAATGCTCACATTACCACTTCATGTGTTCTTCAGATGAATCCTGGCATTAAAAATGTGCCAGGGTTGAGCTCTGTGTGTCCTAATAGTAAAATCTATCCACAACTGAATAAATACAGTGGTGCCTCGCTTGATGACGTTAATTTGTTCCAGCAAAATCGCTGTAGAGAGAAAACGTTGTCAAACGAAATAAAAAAACCCACTGAAACGCACTGAAAACCATTCAATGTGTTCCAATGGACTGAATACCTGCTCGTCTAGCGAAGATCCTCCATATGGCAGCCATTTTTGGTGCATATAAAGCAAGGAATCCGTCCTAGAAAACAGCGGGGGCCATTTTCTTCAGCCGGTGACCATTTTGAAACCTGACAATCAGCTGTTTGCTGATCATCGTAAAACGAAAATCGGTTCCCGAAGCAGGGAACCGATCATCGCACAGCGAAAAAACCCCATTTAAAACATCGTTTTGCGATTGCAAC